GCCTCTGGCTGCTCCTGGGTGAGTAGAGCCGGCGCCAGGGCACCCGCGGGCGGCATCGTCCTCGCGCACCTTTCCGCTCCCCGGCGGCAGCCTGGGCGAGGGCGGCTTGGGGCGCTGGAGCCGGAGCCCGGGGAGGACCGAGGCGCGGCTGCCCCGTCGCTGCGCTAGCAAAATCCAGAAGCGGCACCTTGCGGATCGGGGGCGCGGGGATGGGAAGCTTGGCCCGTTTATCCGAACATTAATTAGCCGGGACTGGACACCGGGCTTCATGCTCCGAGCAGTTGCTTCTTTGCTAAGCTGTGTCCTTCGCAGAGCGAGGTCAGCGTCTTCCTTTGGAAGGACTTCACTGAGGTCCGTTTTGTCTGCTCGCTGACCTGGCCCTCCTGGCTCGTAGAAATGAGAGGCGGGGGCCCTCGGAGGCAGCAGAGCGCACTGCGCATTCCGCTTCCAGAGAGGCCAGAGCCTGCGGCGGATTCGGCAAAAATCCCCTCATTTCACTTCCCCTGACCTCTCGTGTGCTCATAAAATGTAAGACCCTTTCCGAGCTGTGGGAGCCAGTGGAGTTATTTCATGGATGCAGCTACAGTACTGAAAATTAAATATATTCCTTTTGTTTGTTTGAGGTAGGAGCTCGCTGTGTAGTTCAGGCTGGCCTCGACTCGCCTCGGCCTGCCTGCCTCAGCCTCTGAAGGGCTGGGATTACAAGCACATGCCACCAGGCCCTGGTTTAGATTACCTGAGCTGGGGAATCCAAAGCCCCAGGGAAGGCCCTGCAGTTACTCCTGGTTCTTGTGCTCTGTCCCGACCTGTGGCGTTGCCCCTCTGGTGCCCACTGTGGAAGGGGTGCCCACGCACTGTGCCTGCAGCAGGGAAGCCGACTGTGGCACGGGGCCTGTCCCTGGAGACTGCACAAGTCCCTGAGAGGGGGCCTCCTGGCAGAGAGGAGCAGGTCGGCATAAAAATCCGCGGGAGTCTGCCTCCCGGAACGCAGTGGGATGGATCCTGCCGCTGAAGCGTCTTAACCACAGCCCTGGAAAAGCAGATTCCCACAGCACCCTCTTCTGCTGTGTTAGAATCCAGTCAGCTCGCCAGGGAATTCAGAACTGTTTCAGGTTCCTAAGAAACGAACATTTATTTCTTGGTTCGCACAGCAGAGAGCAGAGTGGGGTTGGGTTTTGTTTTGCCTTTTTTTTTTTTTTTTTTTTTTTTTTTGCATAAATAAGTGCTCTTTACTGCAGCCCAGAGGCAGCACGCACTGCGCCTCATGTAAATAAAATCCAGTGTCACGGTGGCATAGAAAGATCTTCCCCGTTGCCAAGAAACCTGCGTGTTCTGCTAACAGCCCAGCCTGCTGTCATCGCAGCACTGTTCCGAGAGGTCTGGCTAACGTTATATTCTGGAAGAACAAACACAGCTTTACAAGGTTATCAGTAAATTCACGTCTTTGGAGCCCAGCTGCAGGGAGCAGAGCAAGGAGCACGCGCTGTTTTCTCCCGGAGCTGCGCAGCAGCCAGGTCTCCTTGGAGACGAGGGCTTTGCTACCCAGAATGGCAGTGTGGAAGCGTCTTCGGCAGCACGCTGGTCCGTCCTTTAGCCTTGTGGGACAGCTCTATGACCAAGCTGTCTTCCTTATTCAGCCTGCTTCCTTTCTGCCGGCCGTTACTCCAGCCTCGCTGTACACATCGCGGTTTTCCCTGAGCATCCCAGGCGCTCTGCTGTCTGCAGCCCGCTGGCCCGTGGCCCCATGCGTTTATAACGTTCTGTCTGCAGCTGATGCAGGGGAAAGAAGCTCCCAACCTGAAAGCTATCTGGGACGAGTTCGTGTTCTCTAAAATCAAAGAATGAACGTTAGGAACAACGGAGGTTAAGAGCAGAACATATTTATTGGGGGAAAGAAAGCTTCTGTTCAAGAGAGACAAAAGGGGACCCAGCTGGGTTGCCAAGGACCCTGCCTTTCCTAGGGATTTTACAGAGCAAAACCATGAGGTGGAGCGGGTCCAAGGTGGGAAAGAAGGGCACTCGCAAGGAGGGCACAAGGTGGGACAAAACCGTGGTCAGCCAATAAGATCACAAGCATAATTGCTCAGGTAAAATTGATGACATCAGGATCAAATGGGAAAGTCACGTAGCAAGGGGACCTGAACACAGAACAGGGCCTTTCCTGTAGGGGGTTGGGTAGTGACTCTTCCTGGGCTTTTTCAAGGTGATTGATACCTATTTAGAATATCAATCCCTGGTATGTGGGTGCATTTGTTTCATCTTTTGTCCTGAGGTGACCCCCAGCGGAAGTGTCTGTCTCTCCTACTGCTGCAAGATATCTTGCTTCCATACTGGCTCCTTCAGGCCAGGCGTGGTGGCACGCGACTGTAATCCCAGCACACGGGAGGCTGAGGCAGGAGGATCATTGTGAGTTCGAGACCAGCCAGGGCTACAAAGTGAGCTCAAGGCCAGCCTGAGCTGCATAGCGAGACCCTGTCTCAAAAAAAACAAAACAAAACAAAAAAACCCATACTGACTCTTTCAAATGCCTAACCCTACCTGACTGCCTATTCTATCTAATTCAGCTGCCTACAACACAGCCACTAAAAATTTCCAGAAGTGAGAAAATGACATTTCTAGCCAAACCGGGGTTATTCCTAATGGCTGCATTGCAAGCTTCTGTCTTTTGCCAGCTTCGCTTGGGGCGTGAGGCTGCCGAGAGAGGGCGTCTCCGGCACGGGTCCTGGGAAGCTGCAGGACTTCCTTGACCCTCCTGCTCAGGACCCTGTGGTATTTGAGCACTGATATGTATTGAAATGTATGACTCCGTATAAGCGCAGAGGTAACTGGCACTGACTGGGACATCGCAGGCAGTGCAATCTGTGACACGGCTTCAAGGCTGGACGTGGTTCTAATCCTGGAGCCCAGGCCTGAAGGAATCTCACTTGCTAATCAACTCAGTGTGTTTGTTTACCGTCCCTGTGTGCTTAGCTGCAGGGAGACAGTCCTGGATTTTTGTCTTCCTTCCACGGGCGCCTGCCAGGCAGTGTGTGTGCTGTCAGTCTGTGCCAGGGCTGTGGAGAGCGTTTCCACCCGAGGCAGATGGGTTGGCGAGCGGCGCCCTGGGGAGCCCTTCTCCATGGAAGCATTCCTGAAGGCAAACGTGGATTGGAAAACTCCGATCTATGAAGGCAGTCCCAGAATGCGCCGATTTCATAGCTCTGATCACTTGAAACCGGCATCTGGCAGTGGGTGGCACGTGTGGTATGCGTGGCATTGCAAACCCTGGGCTGCCAGTGGCGTCCCAAGGGCTCGCCCAGCGCCCCTGCTGGCGTGCCTTCCCTCCAACCCAGGGTCTTCTGCCTGAGGCGCCATCGGCAGTGTCTGTCCTCTGGGAGACCGACGGCGCCCCCTGCACATGTTGAGCTCCTGACGGAACCTCTGGGGTTCACTCCTCATGTGCCAGCGGGTGTCTGCTCCTCACGGGAGGGTGGCTGGTGGGTGGCAGGGCTCAGGGGTCTGCAGGGAGGGCAGGGAGAACCCCGCCCGAACCTCGTGGCACACAGGGCCTCGGGGAGACCTCCTGGAGAAAGAGACGCTGCTGCCAAGGAGACGAGGAGCATGGAAGGGGGTGAGGGAGGCCCGGCAGAGGCTGCTCCTGCGGCCTCAATACCCGCCCGGCCCTGGCCGCCCGCCTCCACAGAATCTCTGGTCAGCAGAGACACAAAGGTGACAGGGATGACCGGGTGTCTGATCCCCAGACACGTGCATGTGCGCCCAGGTATGCATGCGTGCGCACACACACAGAGCGGTCACCGCCCTCCCACAGGTTGGTACTGGGGCTCCCGGGAGGAGGGCTGTGCGGGCTCAGCCATCCCAGGCAGGCTTCCGGTTCTGCTCCCAGACTGGCTTTGCTGCGTTATTCTCTCTGACATCCGAAGACGTCACTCTGAGCACTGGGTCTGCGCAGCTCTATGCCGCTCTGCAGAGCCGAGCCCAGGAGATGCGCTGACGCTGATGAGACCGGCTGCTGTGGCCCAGGCCTCTCGTCCACCCCCTGCAGGGCTCCGGAGAGGTGGGGCTTCCTTCACCCCAGACCACTCCCCTACTCACTGCGGAGGAGGTGCCTGTGCCGTGACCCCAGCTAACCCCGCCTGCTCACCCTCAACACAGCACGGCTGGGCCTGGGCTGCTCTGGACTCCGGGTCAGCAGCTGGGGACTTGGCTGGGTCTGTGAAGCCAACACCCCGCACAGCCTGCGGCTGCCTCACTCGGGGCAGGGCTGGGGCTCCCTGACCTGGGTCTCGCCACCCGCTCCCGCGCTCCTAGGCTGAGGAGGGATGGTCTTGGCCCCATTCCCAGGGAGGGGAAGCCGGGATTTACCGCACCAAGGGACTGCGTGGCAGTCCCCACCGTGTTGGGCCCCGCCTGGCTAGGGGCTGAAGGAGAAGCAGCTCCCATCCCAGAGCCTGAAAACCGCTGCATCTCACACAGCAGTGCAGGGACCCCAGCCTGGTGCACACGGTGTGGTGTGAGGTGTTGTTGAGGGAAGGCGGCACTGGGAAGGAGCCCAGCTGGTCCGGTGCCCTGTACCAAGCACGCCGCACAGGTGGAGCCGAGGTCCCACGCAGGTGCCTGTGAAGGCCTGTCCAGAGCACAGGGCACTCCCACACACGCAGCGGGTGACTGGCACCAAGCGTCCACAGAGGTGAGACAGAGAAGTCTGCCCCGCGTAAATCATGCGTCTGCCGCCACCACCGCATGGCCACAAATATTTTTTTAAATGCATCTGTACCAGGGGCTGGGGGTGTAGCTCAGCGGCACAAGCGCCTGCCTGGCAAGTGCAAGGTCCTGAGTTCGATTCCCGGTACCAAAAAGAATGAAATGCATCTGTACCAAACGTGCAAACTTTTCTCACGCCATTACTGCCTAAGCAGCATAACGGCTGTTCCCGTGGCGCGTGCGCTGTGTGGGTATTGTAAGGCGCACAGAGCTGACTTAAAGCAGCGTTGGCAAACGCACGGCACGCCTGCCGCCGTGGTTCGGCATCGCTGACGGAAAGTACAGTGTGTAGGAGGCTGCCTTCCACACGGACTTCGCCATTTTGTAGAAGAGGCTCAGCCCGAGGACACGGCAGCAGCGGGGCTCCTGGAGTCCGTCTGTGTTCGTGAGGGAGCTGTGCAGACGGTGCACTGCATGCAGAGGAAATGAACGGGCAGCCATAGAGCCCAAGCCCCGGGAGCTGAACTCGAGTGCCGCAGACCATGGGGCCGGTGCGCGGAGGCCCCGGCTCCCAGAGCACAGAGGAGAAGAGGGCTTTGGCCACCAGGCCAGTGCTGGGAAGGGCCCTGCCCCACACACGCTCAGAGCCTGCTCTAAGGGGGCGGAATTGTGCTGCCAGGTGAAGGGGTGAGGTGACTTGGTGAACAAGGACCCTGGCCGTCCCCGACGTGGGCTGGAGAGGCCAGGACAGCTGTGGACAGGGCTCCTCAGGGCGTAGGCCGTGGGTGTGGCATCTGGGCTGTGGGGGAGTGGGGGGTGGAGCCAAGGTCACCTGAACACTCGAGGACCAGGCCAACTGGACTGTCCGGACAAGTCTCAGTGCAAGCGTGTCTCGTGAGTACTGAGGAGTACGCATGCTAGGAAAGAAAATTATTCTCCTGCATTCATTTTACCAGGGCACCCTGCCACGTTTATGTCTGCTGCCTCTTGCACCCCATCGTGGCCACAGTGGGGTGTAACCGCCCCTCCACGGCGGGGTCGATGGCCGGCAGACCGGAGTCACAGGAGAGGCGTGGCCAGGAGAGATGTGAAAGCCGTGGACAGAGCACAGCTGGTGACGGGCTGGAGACAGGCCCAGCTGGCCGTGCTGTGCGGGGCCGGGCAGGGGAGGCCACGTCCACACAGGGAGCAGTGGGGATGGCCTGCAGGGGGCGGGCCCCAGAGAAAGCAAGGAGAGGCCGCGTGTCCCTGGACATCTTGACGGGACACGGGACGGAGGCACATGCGGGAGCCCTGAGCAGGGGCGGGGCAGCAGGCACAGCCCTGAGGCTGCAGGGAAGAGACTCGGCCCATCCTGGCGCCGTGCGGCTTGAACCCTGCACCCCTGGAGTCCTGTGGAGCTGGCCCGGCCCCCAGAGCCCTGGTCTCTATGCCTTCGGGGCCGTGCGCTTACTGTGACGCCACTGGCCCCACTGGCCCTCGGCGGGCGCGACCAGACCGCCTGCTCCGGAAACGGCAGCCGTCGCTCCGCAGGCCAGTGACCGGCGGGTGACTCGTTCGGCATCCAGGAATCGGGGTTTTGGCTGCCCCATGAGCAGGAGACCCCGACCCCCGATTCATTCTCTGACTCATCCACACTGGGCACATAAGAAAGCGCCTTTCTGTGGATTAGTTCCTGCAGGGCCGGCTTCCTGGTTCTGTGTCCAGGAGCACACGTTTCTGGTTGGTATTCATGCCTGCGGTGGTCATTAACCCAGCTGTCACCTGGGTCCACCACACCACTGCCCGCTCTCTGCTCAGCCTGGACCTCAGCATGGGGACAGCGTGCCTGCTTCTGCTGCACGCCTGGGGCCGTAACCCTTGAGCCCGAGTCTTTCTCCTTGGGATGCTTCGTAGTTTATTTTCCTTTCCGCTGAAGCAGGAGCAGGATGGAGAATGCATCACCTTCCCATGTGTGAAATGCTCCTCGCCGAGGCCGTGGCCGGGGACCCTCATGCAGTGTGGCCCCGTGAGTTGGTGGGCGGTGGAGGAGGGGCTGCGGGGGTGGCGCGTCCTCTGCCTCAGCTTCTTCCCGGTGCTCCGCACGTCCCTCTGCAGGTTTTCCTCGCAAGCACAGGTCCCCTTTCCAGCGGAGGGCGAGGGCATCCCCACCCCTCTGCGCCTCCGTGGCGGGCTGTGCGGTGGGCAGGCACGCCCCCGGAGTGCTCGTTTCTCCTGCGGAGCCTTGCAGGTGTCCCCAGGTGACCGTGCCCCTGGGATTTCTGCGTCTTTTCACGTCAGGACGGAGCGTGCTTTCCTGTGCACGCCACCGTTTCTCAGGCGGCCCCACTTTACAGGGGCCCAAAAGCAACTCACAGTCAGGAGAAACCGTGCTTCCCAGGTGGAGTGTGACCTCTTTTGTGGCCGCAGTGACCACGCTGGGCACAGCTCCTGGTCAGCCCCTCGGTGGGGAGGGGACGGACAAATCTGGCCCTGTGCAGGGACCCGCACACAGCCCAGGAGCCCGTAGGCCGGGCCTGTGCGTACTTTCCCACTTAGGGTATTTTGACCTGTGGCGAGGTTGGGGGCCAGCTGCAGAGATCACTGTCTCATTTCTCTTGAGCTTAAGCTTGGGTCTCTTGCTCCTCATTTCATCCAACGCCCAACCTCTGTCTCTGCCCTCTGCTGTGGCATGCCCGAGGGCCACTCCCTGGCACCTTGGCTGAACCCTCCATGTTTGGTCTGTCTTGTGCCCACTGTTGGTGTTTTCTGGATTCTGTTTCCCCTCTGTAGCGCAGGAAGTTCTTGGAAGCAAGTTTCTGAGTCTCGGTGGCTCGGGCTCTTTGGCGCCCCCCAGCAGTCCTCGATGCTTGTACTGCACGGTGGTCAGGGGCAGACGGTGGACCGCGGCCACTGCTTGGCCTGCATCAAGGGCTCCTTCTCGGCCCTGCCCGTGTTTCCTTTTGTGGATGGCTGGGCGCCCATGGGAAGAGCGTGACATTTCTATGTGCTGATTGCAGTCCTGAAGTGAAACGGGACTACCGGGCCCTCTGCGTCCTTGTTTGTGTTAGGCGCCCGGCCCAGGGGTGCGTCTGTGCCTGCGGGTGTGTCCTGTGTGCAGGCGACACGACCCGGAGCACACGCGTCGGACCCTGCCCGTCACAGCCGCGTGGACCCTCACAGCGTAACCTTCCCGGCCCACTCCTTGCTTTTTAATTGTGGCAAAGTTCACATAACATAGCATGTACAACCCAGCCACCTTGCGGAAGCAGCTAAGTGGTGCTGAGCGTATTCGCGATGTGAGTGACATGTCAGAGCTCTTCTCGTGGAGGAACTGCAGCTCTGGGCCGGTACAGTACAGCTCCTGGCCTCCTCCTTGTGCTTGGCAGCTGCCGGCCCCATCCCAGCTCTGTGATTTGAACTACTCCAGCACCTTCTTTTTTTTTTTTTTGCTTTTGTTTTGTTTTGTTGGCTTTTTATCCGGTACCGGGAATCGAACTCACGACCTTGCGCTTGCCAGGCAGGCGGTGTGCCTCAGCTAAATCCCCAGCCCCTCCAGCACCTTCTGAAAGCAAACTCTGACAGAATTCGTCCTGTGAGGGGCTGATTTCTCTCCGCATCATGTCCTCAAGGTTCCATCCTGCAGCATGGGTCAGAATTTCCTTCCTTCTGAAGGAAATTACATCCCTAGCCTAGTCTCCTTCTTGTTGATGGAACAGAATCTCCAACACCCATGGCTTAGACGAGGAGAGGTTTATTATCACTCAGAGTTTGCGCCCAGATCTGCCGGCTGCGAGGCAGAAGCAGGGTGGTAGAGGGCCCGGCAGAGAAAAAGGTGCTCAGCCCACGGCCACCGCAAGCAGAGGGAGGAGGGAGCAGCGAGCGCGGAAGTGGCATTGCCAGTCACACAGCGACCCTGTGTGCAGGTTTTTGAGGAGCTGCCATACCGTGTTGTTCCACAGTAGCCGCAGCGTTCCACATCCCCGGCGGCTGCGCCCCCGCCTCCCGGCTCCTCCGCACCCTTACCCACACTTGCTCTTTATTTTTTCTGCTTTTGTTTTTGTTTTCCGGAGTAGCCACCCCTGCGATGCGGCCGAGCTGCCACGCACGGCTTTGCAGGTGGGATTTAACGTGGTCGGGGTAACGCGGCAGATCGCTTCGTAGTCCTGTATTTGTCTGACGTTGCAGTGCCCTCCCCTTGGATGTTCTGTGGAGTCACTTCATCCTTTGGCCTGGTTTGGCATCTGTCTTCTCAAGGATTCAAGGGAGCACTCAAGCTGTTTGCTTGAACCCTGCGCCTGTCCTCAGGGCCGGTCACCTAGGGCAGGCCACTTCCTGTCTGAGCCGCTCCCGATCTGTGGGACGGAGGTGGCGTGAGTCACTGTGTCCTGGGATGGTCCCACGGGTTCCCAAGGCTCTGCGCGGAAGCTGTGTGGGGCTGGAGCAGGGTCCGAGCTCGCTGGTGATCAGTAACTCTGGTTTTAAGAAATAGGCATGGAGTTTATCTGCTATCTTGTTTTCTACATTCTAGTTTTTAATACTTCCAGGGGACTTCCTGTTTTTTCAACAAGTCTGTATTTTCTCCTTGCCTCTCTATGTTTTTAGTTAAACTTGTGTTTTATTTTATGACCTAAATAAACATGATTATTTCTTGGCTTACAGAGTTCAGAAATGAATGGTGTCCATTGACAATGAGTAGGATTTTGGCAGGTGGTTCTCCTGGGAAGAACCAGGGCTAGAGCAGGTTGTGGGGGGCCTCGTGGGCAGCGGCATCTGCCACTAGGTCACCAAGGCGGGCAGAGGTGGGGGTCAGGGTGGCCCTCCACCCTGTTCCAGAGAAGGGCTGGGAAGGACTGGTGCATTCTGGTGGGAGTCGGGTGACAAGGACATAAGTCAGGACAAAGAACTGTGCTCTGAGCACCCCACATCCAGCCCAGAGCAGGCACTTGGAGGGGCAGGGGAGCACAGCAGGATAGAACCCAGGGCCTTGCTGTCTGTCGGCTGGATGGGAGGACCAGAGCCAGGCGGCAGGAAAAGAATCCCACTGGCTTCCTGGGGCAGGAAGAGCAGGACCCTGGGCCGAGGAGGACCCGTGCCATCCAAGTGTCACTGCCCCCGAACAGCCGGTTGGAGGGTGCTGGCAGGTGGGGCGGGTGCTCACCCTGGCTGGAGGTAGCGATCTTCAAGGAGAACAGAGCACCTGGGGCAGGAGCCAGCTGGCCTCCTGGAGGAGGTGGGCTGCAGCCAGGCCACACTAGGCAGAGGGCAGCCCAGGAAGTGGGGGTGAGAGCTATAGAGGACACCAGATCCCACGGAGAGGGAAGCAGGAGACGGGCTGTGCACGGACGCGCTGCGCACTCCCAGGCTCCGCACGCAGGTCTCACCACCCGGGACACACCAGCAGCGAGCAGGACATGGGCGGGGCAGGGGTCCTAAAGGAGCCTGGCTGAGGAGAACCCTGCATCCAGCTCCCCAGCACCCTTCTGGGGCCCTGGTCACCAGCAGAGTCCCCCCTGGTCTCACTGGCCCTGCGCCCACCAGCGAGATCTCTGGGAGTGGCGACTGGCTGCTTATCAACCAGATGCCTACCGCGGCCTCTGCACCTAGAAAATAAAATGTGTGCAAAAACTGGCTTCTTTGAAAGGAAGGTGAGTGCTAAAACCATGTAAAACTATGCTCTCCTTTCTCCCTCCTGGGGCTGTGCCTGGTGAGCTTGCAGGCGGAGCTCCAAGGGACAGGGCTGCCCTCCAGGCCTGGTGGGGCAGAGGTGGGGCCGTGGTCTCAGCTCACTGGGCACCTTGTGGGGCATCAGTCACCCACCACTGAGGGGCAGCGTGCAGGGCCTCCTGTGCAGCCCCTCGCTGGGCAATGTCTGCCATCTCGTGGACACTGCCGCTGTCTCAGAGCCTCTGGCTGCAGTCAGGGTCTCCAGTGCAGGCCTGCCCACCTCACACATCTGCCATGCATGCCAGGGCTGAGCCCAGGACCGAGGCTCGCTGCTCCACCCTGCTGCGGGGATCAGCCACCCTTTCCCTGTACCCAGCCAATAGGGGGCCGTCCTGACAGTGTGGAGGGCTGAAGGTTCCCCTGGCCCAAGACAGCAGAGTGGGGCCCAGGGGTGGGGCATGGCAGGTGTTGGGCTCCTTGCAACCAGTTCCCAGACAGCCTGGCCCCTCCTCCAGCCAGGCTGCCCAGGGGCACAGGTGCCAGCACAGCCTCGGGAGTGCAGATGAGGAGCAGCCTGACACTGAACATCTGGGGCTTGGAGGCCCTCACCTGAGGCCCCTAGAGAGGCCAAGGCTGTGGGTGCACAGCCTGGCAGATGGGGGCCGAGGCAGAGGCCCTCCCACCCACTGTGTCCACCGGGCCAGGGGCGAGCTCTGCCCAGCGTGGGTAAATTTTGATCTCACACAATGCACTGCTGACAGAGCCTCTGATCTTGTGTTTGCCAAGGGCGGGGGGGCAGAACTACGTCATGTGTCAGTTTGCTGGCTTGGGTTATATCCAGCAAATACCCAGACCAGGGCTGTGCCACACACCCACAGCCACTGGCCTGACGGATGGGCCCGAGCGCCCTGCTGCATCGCTGCCGGGGACCAGGCCAGGTCGAGGGCAGCCACTCGGTGGCATCATGGCTTGGTGCTCCGGGGCGGAGGCCGAAGGCTTGGGCTGTGTCCCAGCAAGCTGCACCCACCCCCACAGTCTCCAGCTCTGGAGGTGGAGGGAGAGCAGGCAGGGCTTGGCGTGGGGGGACGGCGGAGCCTGTGGCCGGCGTGGCAATTTCAGGTCATCCCCAGCAGCAGAAATGTGACTGGGGCATCCTGGGCCCCATCAGCAGCAAGACCTGTGCGGGGACTCGGGTGATGGAGAGGCCCCGCCTGGAGCGCTGGACGCCTGCAGGGGGTGGGGTACAGCGCGGCCCTCAGAAACTCACTGGCGGCTGTGGGGCGGGCGGGGTGGGCGTGTGCCAGGGAACTCGAAGCAGCAGGTGACGTGTCACTCTCTGTTGCAGCCCACCAGATCTTCCTGGTCACCGCCTGCCAGAATGCCCACTATGGCACCCTCATGCAGGAGCTGTGCCTCACCCGCTTCCAGGAGGACATGGAGGCCATGGGGAGGGCGCTGTGGTGCGACTGGGGCAAGACCATCGGGTGAGTCCTGCGTCCCGGGGACAGACGCGGCTGGGGACGGGACCCCCAGGGTGATGTGAGAGTGAGTGACTGCCCTGGACGACAGCAGAGGGGGATGCTGGGACAGCAAGAGACAGGATCTGATGAGGCTGGGGATGCCCACGACCATCTCAGTGCAGGAGTCTGTGGACAGTGGGGCCCAGCTCTGGGCCAGGACCATGGCGGCCACGTCTCGTGACGCAGAGGTTCTTACGGCCAGGCCAATGTCTGCCGCTCACCCAGGGCTGATATCTCCCGCTCACCCAAGGTCCCTCTGTCAGGGCTCAGAGCTGCGGGCCAGGCTGCCCCTGAGGGGTGGTGTGCAGCGCTGACTGAGGCCTTACCCTGTATGGCAGGCCCTGCTACCTGAACTCCCCTCCTCCCACTCGCAGAGTCCCTGCCATCTCTGGGGCCCCAGGTGCCCACAGCAGGTGCAGGGATCCTCCCAGCCGGACCAGGCTCTCACCTTCATCATCCAGTGTCCAAGCCTGGCTGCTGCTGCAGTGTGGTGCCCCAGGGTCCCGGCGGCTGGAGGGGCGTGGGCAGGGCTGCAGGCCTCGGCCCCAGCCACAGAGCCCCCGGCAGGGTCCGCATGCCGGGCCGGTGCACAGCACACGCAGGTGCACAGCCCTGGCGCCCCTTCTTCCGGTGCCCAAGGCGAGAGACAGCGGGGTCCTGGACACTGCTTGTGGGGGCCAGGGGCAAGGAGGGGGCAGCCTGGGGTCTCTGTGGGGGAAAAGTGAAGCCAGTTCGCACACAAATTGTGTATGAGGCTTCGCATCTCCCCAGGGCCTGGGACTCGCCTGGCTCCTGGCAGATGCTGGCCAGGTCCTGTGGGATGAACGCCCCTCCGAGGAGCGCAGCTGGAGGGCACGTAGGTGAGCACCCGGGGTCCTCCGCACAGAGTGGGGCCGCGCTGGCCTCCTCTCCTGGCGCAGGCTCTCCCCGCCCGTGCAGCCCGGCCCCCCGTGGCCCTGCTCGCTCCCTGACAGGGAGGACCAGCAGTGCCCATCTCGGGGGTCGTTCATCTCGGGCTCCACTGCTCCCAGCACTCTGCTCAGGGGACAGCTGTGGAATCTCTACCTCGGGGACAGGAGACAGGCAGGCACAGTGTCCCACGTGCAGCGCTGCAGCGGAGAACTCGCACCCTGGCTGCACCTCTGCTCGCGCTCAGGGTGCAGAGTGGCCCCGGCGGAGGAGTTGCGGCCAAAGCCCAGGCCCCGAGGCTCAGGACCTGGGACCCTTGTTGGGACACAGTCATCCCGGGTGGTCCCAGGTGGGACCCCTCAGGGTGTCCTGGGGACCTGGCAGCACCCCCAGCCAGATCCTCCCCGTCCTCTTGATCTGCTGCACCCCGGGCCTCTCGGAGAGCACAGGCCTCGAGTTCTGAGCGAGTTGGGTGCTGGAAACCGAGAGGGACGAGGTTGCAAACATGGGCAGAGCAGCCTGGTCTTTGGGCTCACTGCTTTCTGCCTGGCTGAGTAGCTTGCGCTTAAATTAAACGTTGCATTTAACACGCCCGGGAGGTGAGTGGGCCCTGGGGAGGCCGAGATGGGTGGAGCTGTGCAGCCCTGCAGGCGCCTTGCAGGAGTGCGTGGGGGGCAGGGGGAACACTCGGCTGTCGTCGGAGGGCTCAGCGCACCAGGACCAGAAAAAGAAGCGGGGGTGCCGCTAGGAACACGCTACTGGACGCTGGCTAGCCTCAGTTTCCCCAGTGCAAGCAGTGTCCGTGTTCAGGCTGCAGGACTGGGCCAGGTGGGTGATTGGACGGAGGACTTGGGCGCTGCGGGGCCTCTGTCAGCCACACGTCACTGAGGGTGGCCATGGGGCCAAGGCGGAATCTTAGCACAGGCTGCTGTTGGGGTCCAGTGTCCAGGACAAGGCAGTGGCCTCAGCACAGAGCCCCCAAATGCAGGCTGCCTGAGGCCACCGTCGTCCCGGGGCCTGGCCAGGCCTGCAAGAGGTCCGGAAGTGGCAGAGGGACAGCTTCCAGATCTCCCCTAACACCGGAGAAGGCTCCAGTTTCACAACAGCTGCACGTGGAAGGACTCACCTTCCACACGTGGCGGACGTGCACACAGAACACAGGGAGAGCTCTGGGGACATTCACGCCAGACAGCTCCTGGCAGCCGTCCTGGTGGCTTGAGCCTTGTTCAAGCAGACACTGTACCCCTGGTTGGGGGCTGGGGCTATACAAGGTGCTTAGCGGGCTGGGTGTAGCTCAGCAGAACACGAGCCGCCTAGTGTGCCCAGGTCGCGGTCCGTGTGCGCCACAGAGCAAAGCGGACGTCTCCCAGGGGAAGCCCGGGCTGCGAGAGCGTCAGGCCCCCTTCCAGCCGGAGAACCTGGGCCTTCTTGCGTCCCTTGCCTGGGACCATGGCCTGCTCTGATTTTGCAGATCCAAGAGCAGAACACAGTGAGACTGGCCACCTGCCTGTGAATGGGCCCAGGGCCTCCCCAACCGCTCTTCACCTTCACCGTGGCCCCGCACTGCACTGGGCCTTCTGGTTCCTTACCTGAGGGGTGATCTTGCCGGGCTGCTGTGAGTGGCTCCAGGGTGACCTTGAGCTCTTTCTACATGTGTGAGGTGTGTCTGGGTCAGCAGCACCCACTGCTTCCAGGCCAGCGTGTGCTCCAAGCCTTGGTCAGCATTAGCAGAGGCTGTCTCACTGTGCCGGATAGCGGCGTCTCCAACACCACAGCTTTTAAAGAGAATTTTTTTAAAATGATAAAAATAATACAAAATTTCAGAGGAAGATGACAGGAAATTAACAATGGTTGTTATATTGTATATTCAAAGTAGCTGTTCAGATGATGGATATAGGCATGCAAGTTGATCAGTCAGGCATTAACTGTTCTTTTCAATAAACCAATAGAAATTAATAGTACAGTTATCTTAGCCATCTTGTGTGTATATTTATATATATATTTTTTCCCTTTCTTCTTTCTTTTCTCCTTTCCCCCATCCCAGTTGTTCTTTCCTTTTGAGCAGTTTCTTTCCCTTTCACAATACCTATTGTACCTTTCGGATTAGCTTGTTTCTTTTTAACTTCGGTGTTTTTAGCTCATACATCAAAACAGGGAAACTGATGTTTCCATATGCGGATACACCGTGTGGGGTGTGACTCAGGTAACCCTGTCCACCTCAAACGCACATCCCTTACGGTGAAAACGTTCAACTCTGTTCCTCTCCCGGCGCCCCAGCCCTGGGCTCCCGTCCCCCTGTGACCTGGTGCCCAGCGCAGAACCTTCCCACCGCTCTGCTTGGCCTTGGGGACCCTGCTGCCCTCCTGGTCTCCGAGATCCTGGCGCAGACTCTGCAGGAGCGACATCACGTGGCTCTCGCCTCTGCGCCTGGCTCACCCCCGACCTCCAGTCCCGCCCTCGCCCCGCCGAGCGGAGCGGCATCCCGAGGCCAGGCGTCTGTAGCGCCCGCCCACCTGGGATGAGGCTGGGCCGTTTCCAGCTCTGGGTCACAGTGAGCAGTGCCCAGCTCTCGCGTCTCCACGCTCTGCTGCCATTTCCAGAGAGACTGTGAGCAGGATTGTGGGATCATAGGGTACCGCTAGCTTCAGTTTTTTTAGGAAAGTGGGTTTTTTTTCAGCTTTTTCTTTGTTCTTTGGGGAGGGGGCAGAGTAGGGATTGAACCCCAGGCCCTGGCACTGAGCTACATCTCCAAAACTTCCTTTTTTAAATTTTGAGACAAGGTCTCTCTAAGCCATGCTAAAACCTATGATTCTCCCACCTCAGCCTCCCAGAGTACTTGGATGACAGATGGGAAAGTCGCTGGTTTTATTTATTTACTTATTTATTTATTCATTTTGTGTTTTTGAGACAGGGTCTCACTATGCGGTTCAGACTGGCCTTGAGCTCACTTTGTAGCCCAGGCTGGTCTCGAACTCACAACGACCCTCCTGCCTCAGCTTCCCAGGTGCTGGGGTTACAGGCCTGTGCCACCACGCCCAGCGTGGCTGGTTTTAAAGTAACTACTGATGAGAGTTTTCTCACCTATGAGCCGTTCCGAGCTGACGAGAGACAAGGGGACACCTCTGCTCCTTCCTTCCTGTACGCGGCCACGTCCAAGATGTCACCTTTGGTACAGGCAGATGTCAAAGTGGCAAGATGCAGGGGACGGGGCTGCCGTCTCCATGGCCACGCTGTCGGGGTCAGTGGCTCCCAGAGAACCAGCGTGACCTCACTCTGGGTGAGGCGCCGCCCCCTCCTCCCGGGGTGTGCGAACATGCAAGGCTGGCCCTGGCCACCCGGCTCGGGGTAGCTCAGGCTCCGGGTGGGCGGGGTCCGCCCGACCTGGCTGGGGTCCCTGAGGCCCGGGCACCGTGGCACACCTGCCCGCCGGCCGGTCCGAGTGCTGCCCAGGTGTGTGAGGTGCGGCGGCTGGCTGAGGACACAGGCCGAGCCCCACGGAGGAGGCGCGGGTGGTTGCTGACTTGCCCGGGGCCGTGCATCCCCCTCAAGGCCTCTTCTGTGTCCCGGTACAACAGTGAAGTCAGGAAATTCCTCATCTCAGTGGCAAAGCTGGAACAGCTGCCTGGTGTGTTTGGGATTTCCACAGGAACCGAGAGGGCAGCCTCCTCGCGGATCCTGAGGGCTCTGGGCAGGGGGCGCGTCATCCCTCTCGGGGCTCAGGAGGGGCTGTGCCCCCCTGTGCTCCACAGCGGGCACCGGAGGCCACCCATGGGGTGCAGCCTCTTGCCTGGCCAGGAACCCGCAGTGCAGGGTCTGGCACCACCTTGGTCCCCTCTTGCGTCCCCATAGGCGTCTGTTTTTGAACCTGCCACAAACCCTCAGGCACTCGGCCACATTTGTGCCCAGCCTGGTGGCAGGGGACCAGCAAAAGGGCCTGGGCTGCATGGAAAAGCCCGGGCATTGGGCAGGACCATGGCAGGGTCCGCAGTATGGCCAGGCGGCCAGGCCACCATCCTCCGAGCTCTGTCCCTCTCTGTGCAGATCGGGGCAGGAGA